AGTCAACAAATAGAGCTGCAGACATGTCATTAACAGAAAAAGTAAATTATACCTTCTTAGATCATAATCTTTTTGCTAAACTAAGACAAAGCAAAACAGATAAAAGTAACACTTTGAGACAATATAGGTCACAAACTTTACACCATTTGAGCAAAAGAACGATATAAGAAAAAGAACATCTGTATATAATTGCATATCAAAACAAGAAAATATTGGAAATATTAAAGATAAATATTCCTAGTTTTTCAAATGATTAACCATATTAATAATGCCCACTGTCCAAGGTGATACTTAACCCAGGCCTGTTAAACGCATGTAGCTCTTTCAGGGACTTGGGGGAGGGGGGGGTCAACAGTTAACACATGAAAGTTCACTACTGGAATTGGATTAAGAAATATATTTTCTTTTAAAGAAATTTTTACTTTTTTTTTACCTTTTGGATTAACTTAAAACTTTTTCAATGCAAAATTCACAAGTGCCATTAAGATTTTTAACACAAAGTTAATATAAATTTAATATTTTTCTCTATGCTATTGTTCTTCAACAAGGACAATATTAAGTATAACATTAACTTTTTATGAATAATTTGTTTTTCTTGAACAGAATAAACAGGTATTATTTCTTCTAAAAGTATGTTGAATTTTTGTCATTCGTAAATAAATAGAAGACATTAAAAAATAGTTAATGTCTTTCACTACAAAATTAATGAAAAATGACACATTAAAGAATTTATCACAAAGTTAATGTCAAAAATTAAATTCAATAAATTTAATATTTTACAACTATTCTTAAAAATATACCACAAAAATGTAAAGATATTATCTTGTCAATATCTTTTTTTTTTTACATTTTTTGCGATTATTTTTAACAGTGAAATTCACTAAAAAAATGTCATTAAGAATTTTGTCACAGAAAGTTAATTTAATTTTTTCTTTATGCTATTATTGTTCATCATAATGTTCATAACAACAGTCATGATTATCAAATTCATTTTGTAAGGAATATTTTGTGTTTTCTTTATAACACTTGAAGTATGTTGATATCATCCTTGTAAGAAAACAAAAAATGAATGTAATTTTGCACTAATTTTCCAAAATTACTATATAGAAATTTGTACATTTGAAAAAATTCGAATAAAATCTAATTTAATAGTTTTTCTATATTATTCTTTAAAACAAATATTGATTAAAAAAAAAATAATTAAATACAGGTATTTAAAAAAATGTATGTTGAATTTTACTAGCATTGATGTTAAAATGTACAAAATTAAGCAATATTTTTTAAAAAAATATGCTGTAAAAATATTAAACTCGTTATTTTTGTTTATATAGTTGTATTTTATGGAGGAGGAAGAGATCAATCTGCACCCCACCCCCATAAAATACTAATTTTATACAAAAATTTTAATGGGGGAGGTTCAGTTCGCTATGCATCTTCAAGATAAAATGGATTGTGAGCAGTAAAACAATTTGGAAATCTTTTGGAACCACATAATCCCTTAAAGACAATGGAATGTAACTAAGATGACAAATCCCATTCATACAAACTTAATTTCTTAATTCTGAATCTTAAACCCTGCAAACCTTAAAATTTAAGGTTTCATACACTTTTTACAAATGCTGTGATTTTTCATACACTTTTTATAAATGCTGTGATTTTTACAAAATAATAGTTTAGATTATTTACATTATTCGGACTACTGTCCGCATCTTTGTCGCCATATTTATCACGTTTCAGCCGTTGTATGCCCCGGCCTTCTTCAGGTGGTTGGAATTTCGAACTGAACCCTTTATGACTGTTCTAGTTCCACATGCCATGTTTGATGGATGTCAGTTATCAGTTATCTCCTGCTAATTTCTCTCTGAAAGTTCTCCACTACCTTAACCGGGTATTGAACTCACACTCTTTGGGTCCTGTCACTGGATTTAATCAATGCCTTTATCCACTGTGCCATGTGTCCTTGAGGAGGAGGACAACAACACTCAGAAAACAGTCTGCCTGCCTTATGTGAAGGGGTTATCAGAGAAAATACAAAGGATCTGCGATCCATATAACATCAGGACAACCTTCAAAAGCTTGACGACACTTCGCAGATATCTCTCCCAAGTGAGACCCCCCCCCCCCCATAGAGGAGAACATGACTAAAGACTGTGTGTACGCTCTCCCGTGCAGCTGCGGAAAGGAATATAAAGGAGAGACAGACTGCCTCCTCAAGGTAAAGCTTCAAGAACACCAGAAAGCTGTAACACGGGGGGAAGTAGAAAATCAGGTGTGGCTGACCACATATGGAGAGAGAAGGGTGATCACCGCCCTCTGTGGGATCATGTTGAGATCATAGACAAGGAACACATTGCCAAATTCATAAACTTAAGGAATCAGCACATATGCTAGGCCACAAAAATCTCCTGAGCCGACCAAGCATAGAAATAAATACAATATGGGAACCAGTAATAAGGAGTGCCAGAGAAAAGCAATGATAACAGCAAAATTGCAATATGAGCACTGGTAAAAATGGTTGCTGAAGACATTAGGTTTATAATACCCAGAAATTCATACCCAGATGTCCTCAAGGTGGATAAAGGCATTGGTTAGATCCAGTGACAGGACCCAGAGTGTGAGTTCAATACCCGGTTAAGGCAGTGGAGAACTTTCAGAGAGAAATTAGCAGGAGATAACTGATAACTGACATCCATCAAACATGGCACGTGGAACTAGAACAGTCATAAAGGGTTCAATTCGAAATTCCAACCACCTGAAGAAGGCTGGAGCATACAACGGCCAAAACGTTGGCGACAAAGATGAGGACAATAGTCTAAATAATGTACATAATACCTCATCTCAGAAATATAGACATAATAGTTTAGTTAATATTTTTTAATTTCAGCAAATGGTCAAAAAGTGCTGTGTAAACAGGTTGTCATAGTAACTATGATTAACAAAATATGGTTTTGTATATTTTCTCTTCCCGAAGATCAGAATAAGTGAGAATGATGCTTAAAGGTAATACTTCAAGACAACATCCCTAACAAACCAAACATTTGTTTGTGAAATGCATTTTCCATCTGATTATGAATCAGTGGTTATTACAAGAAAAGTACAACCCAGAAATCCATCATCAATATTTGATCATTTGCCATAAGTGTATTACCTAGTCCTCAATCAAAACCAACAAATAAAAACTTCTGCTTATGAGTTGGCACAAACAAAATTGTATCAGAATATTGATCAACAGGATTTTATCTCAGCAGTTACATGCTAGAAATCAAACAACCAGCTGTTCATCCAATCTAATGATTTTTTTTTCCCACTGGAAGTATTTCAATGTTTCTAATTAAAATTTTCAAAAACTTGAGATTTGAATGTTACCATACTGGAATATATACAACAATTTTTTTTTTCTTTCAAAAAGTCCAATATCAATGTTTCAGTACTGGTCACAAATCAATGAAGCAATTCATTAGATTAGTAACTTAAAAACTGATAAGAGAAAAAATTTTAATAGAGCATATTAATGTTATGTCACCATAAAAACTTGGGACAAAACATTCTGATTCTGATATTCTTATCTATTATTGTATATCATAGTGAAATAAGTATTTTCTTCATGTTCGTTGAAACAAATTGTACATGTAACAAAAATCACAAATTTTATAAAGATAAACAAAATTATTATTTCTCTGAAATTCACAATTTTTGTAAAGTATTTTCAGACTTTGTTGATACATGATTTTGTAAAATGCAGAAATTACTTTCTGATTGTATTAAACAATTATATTTTCTGTAATCAATTGGCATAAACAAATTAACTCATTATTTTTGCAATATCATCTAAAAATGTCTAAGTTATGGCAAATAAAGTGATTTTTGTGAATTTAGTTATTTTATTATATTTTTGTTTTCTTTGTATCCTTGCATTCATGGAAATAAGTCAATAATTCCAAGATGCTTCATAATATTATATATAGTTGCTAATTAACTAATTATTGGACATTACTAAGTTCCTTGCTAAAAATGTTATCAGTAATTATTTAGTAGTAAGCTAGGTCTCTGCATATCCCCAAGACCCCCCCCACACACACACACATATTTTGTAGACCCCAGTCACATGGTTGCCAGGCCTGGTATAAGGGTTGCCTTGTCACTATCCCATTTTTGCAATGGTGGGCATTAATGGGTTATTGGTAGAGATTTATAATTAATACTGAATTTTTACAAATCTATAATACCAAATTTTATTTCAATTGCTATAATTAATACAAGATTTTATGGAGAACCTTAAATGGTTTAATATGAATCAATCAGGAATAGCATTTCAATTATATTCCTGTTATAGCAACAACTAAATAATGAAAAAAAAAAATTTTTTTTTTTAAGTTTTTGCAAACATTTTGTTCATTGCAAATTGTTAACTATATCTAAATATGCTAAAAGATGATTATTTCATCTTTGATAAAATCATATGCAATAAGAACTGACAAAATTTATCAAAAAACAGATGCCAAAACACTAAATATGAAGAGAATATAAATGCTCAGGATAACTCCTTCCAATAGTCCACACTCAAATCACATGGAGACCACAATTCTTACAACCAGAAGTATGTCATTTCACATAAAAACCACAGAGTGAAATATGCTACATTATTACCTGTTATTATCAGCTATTCAAAGACATCCAGAAGTCATTAGCATTTAACTTGCAAAAAATAAATCAAGATAGTCACATCATCCAAGCAGTATAAAATTAAAATCTTCAAAAATCTTTCATCTTACTTAGAAAAAATTTCATGCAATTTGAATAAAACCTTAGCAAAAATATCCCCTTTCTGATGCATGATAAAAATAAACTTGTCTTCAACCTTAAAATATTGAGTTTAAAACACAGAAACCTATAGTTCATTCATAATTGAAGCAGAAAAATATTACAAAAAAAAAAAAAGTTTCAAAGACTGAATCTGTACAATTTTACAAAAACATGAAATATTCATAACCTGAACTTACCCTTTAGAGACTCCACCTCTATCAGCTATAATTTTTGTATCTTTTACTGCTCCATATGAAGTAAAAAAGGCCTTCAATTCGGCTTCTGTGGTCTAAAATAGAATATATCAAATAAAAAAAGAGATTAATGAATTTCTAATTAAATTCAAAACTTATCGTATTTAAATAAGTAAAACATGAGTCATTTATGATTTAATACTTTAATATAGATTAGACAACATAATAATCACATAACTGATTATTTTTTATATTCTAGCAAATATTAACAGTAAGTTGTCAAAAAATATTAAAAGTTTAAAAAGTGAGTTCTTATTTTTTTTATTTCCATGACAAACACAAGAGCACAAAAATACAATAAAGATTGAATTAAATGGTCACAGATTGACTAAAACCCTAATATTGTAAACAAATAAAAATCATCATAATATCCAAGACAATTTTATGGTAAAGATATGTTAACTTTACTCGATTTAACTACTGCCAGAAAATAATCATCAAAAAAAAAAAACAAACATTAAAAAATGTATTTTTTTATAACATGGAAGGTGCTCAGTATGAATCAAAAGTCAAATTGTGGTAGGTGGGTGTTGTGATAGTTGTATTAATGTCTGACAGCTCTAGACTGAATGGTTTGTTTGCAAGCATGATGGCCCATAATAAATATCAATATTTTATTTTTTTTAAACTAATTATTTTTCTGCAATTTTTTTTCTATTGATCAAGATTTTTTTTTTTTTAATGGAATAATCATTACTTTTAAAAATGTTAATTCTGGAACACATTCTCTCACATGAAATGTTGATTATGAAGAATGTAAGAAAAAATTCAAATACATTTACTATTTTTTGGTTTCAAGTAAATTATTTATGGTGAAAATGATTATATTTAGAGAAATAAAATTTTCACTGTGAAATGTTGAGGAAACTATTTTATTTTTAAAAAAATCTTATCGCTTACACAAAAATGAAATATTGGAGCAATCAGAAAAAGAGTTTTATAAAGACAATAGTAAAATATTTCAATGCTTTACGTGTAAACATGAGAAATCAATGCACTATCAACTATAAGTTTAATTTTAAAAAATAAATCCTTATTTCCTTATTTAAATAATTTACTCCTACATTATATTTTGAAATTGAGTAGTTCTCATCTTCATTTTATATAAAATCATTTCATAATTATTATCAAAATTGAAGATTTGTCCCTTAAACTTATGTCTAACTTTTAATATATTGGTTAATTCTTCTACAAAGTATTTAAGTTCTTAGCAAATTTATAAATTTATATAACTAATGCTTTTTAAAATTTATATTACACACATTGAAAATAAAATTTTTTAAATGTCTAATAATTTCTTTGCTTTTTTGCATTTAGTAAATTCTTTAGTGATATACAGAAAAAAAATTATCTTAAAATGGTCATATCCACTTTTTCTCTTTTTTTTTTTTTTTAATCACTTTTACCCCCAAACAAGGCAATAAAGCCACTAACGTGCAAGGGGTTACAGAGTGTTAAAAATATGAGAAAAATATACTATTAAGGAGAGAGGACAATAAAAGAATAAGAATTAAGAAGACAAAAGATAATGATTGACATTGCATTTAAATTTTTTTAAGGTCAAAATTGGCTGGAAAGCAAGTGAAAAGTGCAATAGAAGAAACTGTTAGCATAGAATGTACAGTTACAACTATTTCAACTGTAAAATGATGAGACCTTGCCACCAATCTAGTACTGTACTTAAATTCATAAAGTCCTTACTTACTATAGAAGAAAGTTCATCAGAATAATTACCATGAAAGTATTTATAGAAAAGGCACAGAGAAGCTATATTAGTGGCAGGAAAGTGACTGAAGCTGATATGACATATCAGGACCAATAACACTGCAGATTCTTTGGATTTTATCAAGAATCTCTAAATATATAGCAGGGGCACCAGACTATATGTGGTAGCAATATTCAAAGCAAAAACAAATGGTAGACTTATAAATATGAGATAGATTCTGGCAAGAAAAATTGTGTAGCACAATACAGGGAACCAACATCAGTAACAGCACTTATTTTAAACTTCTTTATGCCCCCCCCCCCAAATTAATCAAATGAATTTGTCCAAGAAAATAAAATAATCTCAGAAGCATTTCTAAAAATACAAACTTTGTTTTTAACAAAAATAGAAATTTGCCCAAAGCATAAAATATGAATTTCCCAGGAACATGCAGAGAAAGTTGAATTCCTATTCCTATTAAGTAATGAGGAGCTACTTATTTTTTATGGCATGTGGTCAAGTGATTGTCATTTCAAAGTTAGTTTCAAATCTCTTAAAGTCAACTTTTTTACACTGACTGCATAATTACATAAAAAACTAAAAGAAATCATAAAAAAATATTAATTCATTTTCAAAAGACAGTTAAATGTGACATAAATTAAGGATTAATCTGAAAAAAGGCCCATTAATATTGTTACCACCTGAACTTTTTATGTTTGAGACATATAATATTACATTGTAAGAGTTTTTAGGTGCCAAAATTGCTGGTTCTTTTTCCATAGTTTACTGGTGGAAAGGTATTTTAGGCAGGTTTTTGTCATAAAATGCTCAATATCAAAAGGTAAGGTTAGAGCATTAACTGAAGGCATTACTGCAACACACTCACGAAACTTCCAAATAAGCATGACTGAAATAACACCACTCAATTAAAATTCTATCTATCTATATAGGTATGGTTATGATAAACAATATACACATATGCATATAGGAAACTTCGAGTTATCGACATTGGATATTATGTATATTCACTAATATATATATATATATATATATATATATATATATACACACACACAGAGGACTGCTGGATTTGTGTATGCAGGGTGCGATGAGTAAATTGTTGCCATTTTATATTTTTAATTTCATGCAGGCACATTGTTTGTTTTCAATTTTGTCAACTGCACAGTGTAATAGTGTCAGTTGGGCATCATCTGTGAGAAAAAAGATAACCATGGCACAATTCATTCTGTCACAAATTTGGAAATGCTATGCTGTACTGCTTGGCAGTCATACCAGAAGTTCCAATGTGAATATTTCAGAGTGTTTGGGTGTCAATCTGATGACAGTGCAGAGGATTCGGAAAGAGTTGGAAGAGTATAAAGGCGATTACGAAAGTATGGCAGCTCAAAAGAGTCACTGATCATTCTGATAGAAAAAGGACTCCAGACTCAACACAAAGGCATACATCAAGTGCCTTAAGGAGGTAGTACTGTCCTGGGTCAAGAGGGTCACTGCTGGAAGACCCAATGTCTTGCAACAGGACTCTGCACCATGCCACACAAGCAGGAGAGCCCAGTCATAGCTGTCAGACAATTTCTGCAATCACATTACACCTTACATCTGGCTATCTAACTCCCTAGACTCCAGCCCCCTTGATTACACAAGAGACCAGTAAAATTCATTCTAACACCAAAGATAAACTGAAGGCAAGGATTATGGCAGCATTCGTCAACCTAAACAAGGAAAACACCCAGAAGAGATGCAAGAGATTCCAAAGTTGTCTGGAGGTCATGGTTGAAGCCAATGGCAAGTTTATTTAATAAATTTACTCTTTAGCATTTCAAGATATTTATGTGCAATTTCGGTAAATATATCTGTTAAAATGAGATGTCAGTGTTATTTTCATAATTTAGACAATTCAACCATCTTACCCTGTATAATGTCATCATAACAAATTCAATTGATATTAATTTTTTTTTTCCTGATTAATCATTATTTTAAAATACATTCTATATAAATCTGAGCTATTTTAATTTCTGATGAGATGAATAGGTATGTATGCTATATTAAATAAACAAAAAAAAAACAAAAAAAATCAAAGGTAAAGAATAGTTTGTTTTTTCTTCTTCTATAAAACCTTCATTATATTTAAGACTGATTATAGTATAAAATTAACTGGACATTTTTAATGACCTGATAAAATTATACATTTTGCTATCAGTTAAATAGTTTATAAATCTTAGTATAATCTCAGAAAAACAAGGTCTATGTCTTTATATCACATTTTTGATTTTAGAAATGTTAGATGGTCAATTTATTTTTACTGATGCAAATGTTAGTTAATGCTAGTAATATACTTCTATGTACTGTATCTATTCAGGACATGGGCGATCATGGCTCTCCACAACTTCCTGTCCTCTGTAGCTCTTAGCAATGTTTGTCTTTTTGCTGTCTTCTGTTCCCTGTTCTGCCAACCATTTATACAAGTTTGTTAGGTAGGTGATTTGCTGCTTTCCTGTCATACTGAATCCAATGTCCTATCAGTGTTAAATTTTCTAAGTCTTCTTTCCTCATGTGCCTTAAAAATTTCAACTCTCTCTCTGATTCTAAATATAAGTGTCCTTTTTGGTTCCATTTTCCTTAAAACCTCACATATTCAGTCCACAGAATTCTCAGCATCCTTTTGTAGAATCACATTTCTGTTGCCTCAAGTCTCTTCCTTTGTGAGGAGATTGTGTAGCATTCACTGCCATATAGGACTGATATTACATAACAGTTCAGTACTCTTTTCTTTGTTTCTAACAAAATTGTCCTGTTTCTTAATACTCTGCTTAACTTTAGGAAATCATCTTTCAATATTCCAATGCACCTTTGGGTTTGCTAGATCTAAATTTTGGTACTTGTTTGATTTTGCTGTCTCAAATTCATAGTTTGCATGTTTCTTTTGCTGACAATCATACATTGTCTTCTTACAAATGGTGCTTACAACTTTCTTGTTGCTTTCCTATACTACCTTCCATAGAAGTGGCTGTAGTTTCCTTTCCATGTCTGCTATCAACACAGTGCCATCTGCATATCTAATGTTAAAATTGTGGCTGCCAATAATGAATTTTAGTAATCCTTTTAATTCTCAGGATTTCTTCATTGTAATGGTTGAATAGGTCTGGAGAAAAGACACACCCTTATCTTACACTCCTTTCTATTTTTTTTTATATTTACTGAATTCATTTTCTGTCCTATACAGGTGGTTTGCTCCTAGTGTAAGTTCTGATTTGTACTGATATTCTTCCAAAATAAATCAAGCATACCTAGCAGTTCAAACAGTTCTTT